GGGGTTTAAATGATTGGAGATACAAATTTGAGTTTCATTAATTTATAGATGGAATTTTAAACTGTGAGATTGGATGAGATCACTAAGGGAGGGAATGTAGATAGAGAAAAGGTCTTCCTCTCTCTCCCTCTAAGGACTTAGTTCTTTAGTTCTCCGCTTAAATGTTTATCAAATGAAGATCTTCCTTGACTTGAACTAAAATGTATCCTTCTGCTAAATGTTCTCAACTCTGACCTTATACATCTTTGGGTTTTTAGAGCACACAGGGTCTGCCATATCGTAGGTACCCAATAAAAAAGTAATGAATAAATGACAGAACTGTGTCAAAATCATTGATTTTGACATGTGATTTAGCACTCTCATCCTAATGTGCAAACCATACAACAGTTATTCTCGTTGGGGGTTTAAGCATCCTGTTTTCCTTCAGTGCAAGGGTGGAGCAAGCCGCAGCTACCCCAAACCGAGTGAGAATGGGGAAAATGAATGTTTATAATCTCTCTCATATTCCAGCTCTCCTGCTGTTCTGAAGAAGCAGCATTGGGGCCTCCTCCATCCCCAACAGTGTTTCAGTCTGCATTCCACCTGTTCACATTCCCCAACGCCATGGTCTCGCCTAATCCTGAAATCCCTTACTGGAATGAACATTTTCTCAATGCTTGGGCTTTTATGCAGCTACCTCTGACAGCTGAAGTGCCTCAAGGGAATGAGTCATTAGCATTCACTAAGGAACTAGTTAGAAATTCTTAGGGCCCAGTAATCTTTTTTTTTTTTATAAGCCTTCAGGGTAATTCAGATGTGTGCTAAATTTTGAGAAGGTGTCCCTAGAGAGCCGACTTCTTGCTAGGCCTGACTAGCTGTGCTCTTTTTCTGTGTAAGAAGGCACAGAGTTCACCTGATGTTTTGAGTGCCTTTACTCATGCCAATCCTGAGTGTAGAGTTTATTTCACCTTTCAAGATGCCAGCTGTTTACCTTGTCACATTCAGACAAGTATTGAAATGCAGTTTTCTTCATGATGTCCACCTGAGGTGAAAATGTCTTTTTTACTTGTTCTGGCTATCTTTGTTTTTTTAAAATAACCTAAAGTGTATATCTATGTATGTAAATATATATCGAAAATTTAATTATACCTGTACTTTCACCTCTTAGTATATTAGAGTTAAGCATTAGTTGTGCTTTTAGTTTTATGTATTTGTTGGCTGTCTAATTTAGATAATCAAATCTTAGAGAATATGAGATTACACATTTTTAACTCATAACAAATGGGTTAGTGAATATTTATTGATTCCTTACCGTGTTCAGTCAGTTACATATTATCTCAACTTATTAAACTTGCTATTGACAACACACATGTAATTAATCAATATTTATCAAAGGATAATAGGGAGTGCTAATCTTGCTAGTTGTATTCACTGGGAGTGTGTTTTAAATTCCTTCTTTATTCCAGATCCCTTTAAGATGCACCATGATGATGCCCTGGAAGATTTGCTCTTTCTCCCCAGTGGAACAACCAGTTCTTCAGCATTTGTAGAACAAAATAATCCCCTGAAAGACAGTTATGGTATGACTTCAACTGGATTTATTTCCTAACTCCAAACAATTAATATGGCCTTTCACTCATCACCTTTGAAGTTAACCACTAGGCAAGATCATGTTTAGGGGCTCTGGCTGTGACAAGGCTGTTTTTAGATTAGTCACAAGAGAGAATTCACAGTTCGGCTGTTCAGGGTCTACTTGCCTCCTCTCATGGGATTTTGAATCTTATATCCTAGGGCGAGATTCTGTCTCCACATTTTACTAGCCCATGGCCTTGGGCAAGTTATGTCCTCCCTAAATTTTGGTTTCCTTATCTATAAAATGGGGCCAACACTAGTCCCTACCTTAAAGATGTGGTGATGATTAAATAAAATTATGTAAAAGCACATAGTGTCTGGTACTTAGTAAACATTAAACAGACCTTAGTTATGAATTAATAGTATCCTCATTCATGGTTTTGTATAACTTTTAACATGAATGTGGCCACAGTACTGTAGGGGAGGCAAAACTTTCCTTCTACCCATCTTAGGTTTTCAGCTGGGACTCTAACAAAAAGACAGATTAACAAGAGAAAAACACCCAGCTTATTAACACATGCACTGTATATCCTATGGGAGAAATGTAACTCAAAGTGGTAGCTTAGAATTTCGGTTTATATAGCATCTTCAACAAAGAACAGTAAATTTGTAGAGAAATAACAGGACCAAGGAAAGCAATTTTAGGGTTCCAAGAGTGACTTACTGTGGGAAGGTAAATATATGGGAGAGAACTAATGGAGTAAGGTTTGCTTGCAGATTCCTCTGGTGCCCTCTCTGGGCTGATGAGAGTCTGTCTCTAGTAAAAGGAGAATTTATATCCTGGCTTTAGGCAGAAAGTGGGGAGTTTTTTCTGGGTTTGCTGCTTCTTAATTGCCTATACCTCAACATAATTTTTATATCAGAGGCATATTTTGGGGTGACATACTCTGGTTTCCTTTGGTACCTGTCATCAATAAGTCCTACTTCAAACAATGCTTATAATTTTGTATTTGTAAAGATCTTAGCTAGTAATATGTTTCATTTATGCTTTTCTTTGGACTGAAGATCTCTTGGGAGAAGGATGTTAAATGAGTTGACTTGGAGTTATCTGTCTAGTCTCCTGATATTTTTGTGTGTGTGTGTGTGTGAGGAAGATTAGCCCTGAGCTAACATCTGCCAATCCTCCTCTTTTTGCCGAGGAAGACTGGCCCTGGGCTAACATCCATGCCCATCTTCTTCCACTTTATATGGGACACCGCCACAGCATGGCTTGCTAACCGGTGTGTCGGTGCGTGCCCGGGATCTGAACCGGCAGACCCCAGGCCGCTGCAGCAGAGCGCATGCACTTAACCGCTTGCGCCACCGGCCAGCCCCTCTCCTGATATTTTGATTTTGGCTTTGACTCCTGTTTTTTCAGCTGACTAGCTGATGAGTTATTTGGTTGTACTGACTTCTTTCTTTACACCGTCTTTCTTCTCTTCCTTTATGCTGCCTCTGCTTTTCCCCAGTGTAAACCCCTATCAGTTCATACCTGGGCTACCCTAGTCATCTCCTAACAGACTTCCTGCTCCCTTTTTAAATTCATTCTGAGTATATCTGTTGTGTTGATCACCGTGAGTTCCTGTTCTGTATTCATCTCATTTTCATCATTAAGACCTTAAGACACCCTATTTTTTTCTCTTCAAGTCTAAATTCCTCTGGCTTTCCAGATCCTTCTTCCATTGTTTGTTCTAATCCTGTTTTCCCTCTCTGGTGTGCAAGATCTATTTGAATCAGACTAATCTCATAGTCCTGGAAACATTCTTGTCCTGTTGGCATCTTCATACTTTTCTTTGCTCAGTGTTCTCCACCCTTAAAATTGACCTCTCTCTCCTCTCTTCCTGCTCTTCTCCTCTGAAGCCTTCTGTGACTATTCTGGTCCTCATGGTTGTTTTTAAACTCTTATAGCACTTTAGTCCATACTCTACAATTTGCATTATTTGATATATATCTATCTTGCCTCTCTAGCTAAATTGTAATAGTTTTGATGGTAAGGACCATGTGATATTAAGTCCCCTATTGTGTCTGTCAGAGGACAGCAAAATAATAATCCTTTTATGTTTGTCTAGTTCTTAATAATTTGCAAACTGGTTTCACAAAATCAACTTCTAGTATTGGAAAGGGAGGTGTTAATCTCATTTTACAGATAAAGAAATGAAGACTCACAATTCCTTACTATACATTATGTTATACTGGTTGTGATGTTGGAGCTAGAGCTCAATCTTGGTATTTTGAATCTTTGTAATACACTGTAGAAGGTAGCCAATCAGTGTTGATTAATGTCCCTGCAGGGATAAAGTGATACTATACGGCCTGTTAACAATTAGCCAAAACCTGAGGAATGTCAGCAGTTTTTACTTTAAAACTTCCTTGCTTCATTTTTCATTGATCCTTAGGTCTATGTAAAACTGGTTTTAAATATCAAATGCATTTTTTTCCCCAGTGTTGACTGTGTTTCAAAAATGTGTTTGTTTGATGTGTTTGTGTTTCAATATTAGGTCTGTTTCCCTGCGACACATTTGTTCCTGCAACTGTTGTGCCTCAGGCATGGTCTGTGGAAGCCGCAAACTCTCCACACTCAGAATCTTTCATTTCCCCAGAGGCCATTACACAACCTCTGCAGCCCACAGCAGGTAAATTATTAGAACCCCTCTGTATCAGTTAATGGTTGCTGTACCAATAATCAATATAAATCATCAGACTTCTTTTTTAGCAGCATACAGCTAAAAATTTCAGAACTATCACAAATGCTTTTAAACCTGAATTATTGATTTCACAGCTAGAGGAATTAAGTTATAATTGAAATACAACGCTTGGAGTTATTGGGCAAAGAAAATCCCTTTTTAATTCAGATTTAGAACTCTGAGTTTTTTTCTTGATGTCCCACAGGTTCCCTTTCTGACATTAATTGTGTACCTGTGTTGTTTTTTTTAACCTGATTTTTTTTTCTCTTCTTTGCCTTTCCTCCTCCACTATTTATTCTCCCGATATCCTATTCTTCTAAGTATTGAGACCATCAAAGAGTAGGCACAAGTGCATCAACTGGACAGTTTCTGAGTTATGTTAAGGTTGTTATAGTCACAGAAACCAGATACTCCTATCCTCTAAGAAAGTAAGTTTTGAATAAGAGCTACAAGCAGACAATGATGGGTCCTAAATTTCCAACTTCTTTCCCTTAGAGCCTGCCAGGGAGGTAGCAATGGCATCAGCAGAAGAGAGGGAACCAACAAAAGCGTCAGAAATAATGATGGGACTGAAGGCTGCTGACATGACATCATCTAGAGAAAAAGAGATGACCTTGGCCAAGGACGTGGCACCAGCCGCAGAAACAGAGGTGGCATTGGCCAAAGACATGGAACCATCTACCAAATCAGATGTGTCACTAGCCAAGGACACAGAATCATCAGTTGAATCAGATACGGCCCTAGTCAAGGACATGGTACTACCCATAGAAACAGTGGAGGCTCCAGTTAAGGATGTCCTGTTGCCCACAGAAACAGATGTGTCTTTGGCCAAGGACATGGTACTGCCCACAGAAACAGAGGTAGCCCCAGCCAAAGATGTAATAGTATTCAAAGAAACAGAGAGGGCACCACCTATAAAAATGGATTTGGCCCCAGCTGAGGGCATAGTACTACCCACAGAGAGAGAGATGGCCCCAAGCAAGGGTGTAGTATCACTCTCAGAAAGAGAAGTGGCACTGGCTAAGGATGTTGTATCATCCACAGAAAAATCCTCAGCAGAGGAGGTGGCCCTGTCCTCAGAAACAAAGGTGGCTGTGACTGGGGACATGACACTGCCTCCAGAAACCAAGGTGGTCTTGACCAAGGATGTGGCACTGCCCCCAGAAACAGGGGTGGCCCCAGTCAAGGACATGGCTCCACCTCCAGAAACAGACATGTTCCCGGTCAAGGACATGGCTCCACCCCTAGAAACAGAGATGGCTCTGGGCAAGGATGTGGCTCCACCCCAAGAAACAGAGGTGGCTCTTGTCAAGGACATGGCTTCACCCCCAGAAACAGAAATGGCCCTGGGCAAGGATGTGGCTCTGTCCCCAGAAACAGAGATGGCCCTGGGCAAGGATGTGGCTCTGCCCCCAGAAACAGAGATGGTCCTGGGCAAGGATGTGGTTCTGCCCCCAGAAACAGAAGTAGCCCGGATCAAGGATATGCCTCTGCCTCCAGAACCAAAGGTACCCCTGGCTAAAGATGTTGCTCTGCCCCTTGGAACAGAGGTGACCCTGGCCAACAATGTGACTCCAGCCAAGGAAGTTGCACCACCATCCGAGGTGGCAACAATTCCAGTTAAGGACATGGGAATTGCGCACACACAGGAAGAAATAAGTGAGGATTCCCAGTTAGAATCTCTCCAGGATGAGGGGCAGTCAGCTGCACCTGCTTCCGTGATTTCACCAGGTATGGGCTTACACTTACTCTCGGTATTTCTGTCTACCAGAGTGTAGTCTCCAGAAGGGTAAGGGACAAAGTCATACCAGGTAAAATAAAGACAGTCAACTAAACTTTGCAAGTCTATACACATTCCTATTCTCCTGGACAACTCTTTCTCATCTTCACTCTCTTCCAACATCTCTTTCCTTGTTCTCTGCTGGTCTTCCTGTTTTTCTTATAGATAATTGAAGCAATAAAAGAGAACATTCACAAACTTCCTTTACTTCATCTACCTAACTACTTGCATCTGTATCCATAGACTCTGCCTTCCCTTCTGTTACCATCACTGAACTGTCCCTGCTCCTAATTAAGGTCAACCTCTCCATTTTATACTAGATTCTGTCTCCTCTTGCCTACTTAAGTACATTGCCCCCTAGCCGTTCTCTTCTTTCTTGCCTCTCACTATTTTTTTCCCCTTTCCATTAGATCATCCCCACCAACATATGAACATTTGTTATTTTTCCCATCTTAAAAACAAAACAAAAACCTCCCAACTCAGCCTTCCCTTCACCTTCCAAATACCACTCCAGTTCTCTTCTGCCCTCATAGGAGCATTTCTCATTCCTCAAAAACTATTCCTGTTTCCAGTTTCTGAAAGGTGGAGAAATAGCTGAAATAGTGCTTCTCTGAAACCTGTGTGTTTTTTACTATTATCTTTAGAACCAGTCACAGCCATGGGCCAAAAGTACAGCTTGTCAACAGATGAGGATTCTGTATTAGAGAAACTAGACCAAAAGAAACCAGTCAGTAGTCAGCCTTCTGAACTGTCTTCAGAGACCTCAGGTAAGTTAGGAAAACAAAGTGGACTCTTTGAAACAACTTAAACTGAGAGCAATGGGGTGGTGGTGGTAGACATGGTCCCTGGTTGTATAGTGTTAATCAGGAGTATTGTTTATGAAGTCAGTTCTCTTTCTTAGACAGATTTTGTCTTATTTAGGGAGAAAGTCAGCTTGTTACATATTGAAAAATTATCAATACATCAACCTAGGACACCTAAATTTTAATCCAGTTCAGCTGTTCACTGTGCTATCCTGTGTGATCTTAGGCAGGTTATTTAACTTTCCTGTATCTCAGTTACTCAGCTATAGAGGAGTAAATAGGTCAAATGTTCTGTAAACACTTGTTAGTTACAGTGTGTTCTGTGGCCCAACAGCATCTTTGTTGCCTGGGAGCTTGTTAAAAATGCAGAATCTTGGGCTCCACCTCAGACCTTCAGAATCATAGTATGCATTTTAACAAGTTTCCCAGATAATTTTTATATACATTAGACTTTGAGAGGCACTGCTCTAAGATACTTTCTAAGTTACAGTTCGATTATTCAATGAACTTTAAGATCACATATTTTTGACAGTAAGCCAGAAGCATGTGCATTTGATTATCAACTTAATGATTCTCTGCTTACTTTTCTCTGACTGTGATTAGAATGTGAACTTAAGGGTGAGGACCATGACTTATTTCACTTAGAATCTCTAGTGCTTTGCACACTAACACCAAGTAGGAGCTAAATAATCATTTGAGGGGCTGGCACAAGGGCATAGCAGTTAAGTGTGCGCACTCCACTTTGGCAGCCTGGGGTTCGCAGGTTTGGATCCCAGGCACAGACCTACACGCCATTCATCAAGCCATGCTGTGGTGGCGTCCAACATACAAAAAGAGGAAGATGGGCACAAGTGATAGCTCAGGGCTAATCTTCCTCAGCAAAAAGAGGATTGGCAATGGATGTTAGCGTAGGGCTAATCTTCCTCACCAAAAAAAAGGAACTTGATTTTTTTAAATGTTATTTTAGTGACTCAACATATAGATAAAGATTTATCAAGTCCTTATTGTGTACAAAATACACCATGCCAAGGCACATAGATATTTAAGTCCAGGTCCTTGCCCTTGTGTTATTGTATTATAACCTGGATGGTGAGAGAATTTCCCAGGTAAGAACTCTGAAACCAAAGATTTGTATAATAATTGAATAAAACAGTATAAGAGATGGCACCAAATAGCTGCTGATTAATTGCCAAATTAAATGTGATAGATGTTGTAGAGTGTTAAAGCCTAACAAGTTTTTGAGAGAAGCAGTAATTGACCGAGGTGTTAAAGGGTAGGGTTTGCAGAACATATGAGGGGTAAAGACAAGAACAAAAAAGTACTATGTGGGGCCAGCCTGGTGGCATAGTGGTTAAGTTTGCGTGCTCTGCTTCGGTGGCCCGGGGTTCACAGGTGTGAATCCCGGGCGTGGACCTACATACTGCTTATCAAGCCATGCTGTGGCGGCATCCCATGTAAAGTAGAGGAAGATGGGCACGGGTGTTAGCCCAGGGCCAGTCTTCCTCAGCAAAAAAGAGGAGAATTGGCAATGGATGTTAGCTCAGGGCTAATCTTCCTCAAAAAAAAAAAAAAGAAGAAGAGAAAATACTGTGTAAGTATTTAATATACTTTGAAGCTATTTCATTGGGTCAGACTTGACAAGAGCTGTTCTAGACCTGCTCTTAATGGGACTCTTTCCAGGATCTTGGATCCATATTGCATTGAGTTGGAGGCGGAGGTTGGACCAGTTGACTTCCTGAAACTTTTCCAAGGATGCTCATCCTAGTTGTTTTAATTCATTACCCTACTTGGCATTATGTATATTTCTCTGTCTTTTGGGAAGTACATTTACGAACAGAACATTGAAATCTAAGACATTTGTCTTTCAAAGTAGGAGGCTCTGGTTCTGGAATGATGAGAATTTTTCTCTGTCGAAAACACTAATTCAGTATCTTTTTTCTTTTTCTTTTCTTTTCTCTCTCTCTCTCTCTTTTTTTAAAGTAACGTAAGTCTGGCCTTCTGGTCTGTTTCTCAAAATTGATCTGATTAGTTTGACAAGTAATTAGAATAATATTGGTGACAGACTCTTTGAATTGTAAATTCTGTCCAAAATCATGTATATTTCATTCAGTTAATTAATAAATGTCTCCAAAAAGAGACAAGAGTTTACCATCTTGTTGCATAATTGGGAATTATGTACCTATTAAAAATAATGACAAATATAAATATCAGATGAGATTTATAGACAGTAAGTGCTTATTATAGAGGTTAGAAGATCTCATTTGAATTTCTTTTCTCCAGTTTCAAATATTTTGTAAATATGTTTGAAAAAAAATGTTACCTGAGATGATGATCTTTGTTAAATATTTGTTAATCCCAGTTAAGGGTGAGAAATGTTTTGGAAAAAACTTATCCAAACGCATTAGTATGTGGTTAGTGAAAACAGAATACTTAAATGAGTCACTGAATGGACTTATTTAAAAGAAATAATAACAAGGAGTTTTTTGTTTGGAATTTTAGCCAACTTCATGTATTGCAGGTACCCTTCCCACACAAGCCAAACAAGTGTGCAGACCCAGTGACCACAGGTCCGCCCGGCACAGGCCTGCCAGGGTCCCTCCTGAGCTGCTGGGAAGCTCTTCTCCACGGAAGACTCTTGATCCCAGGCTGGGCCTCTGCTCTTTGTCTGAGTCAGGTTGGGTCTCTGGTTCATCTTCCTGTAGTGAGCCTGGGAACCAAAGGAAAACTATTCATGTTGACCTCCTTGAACCCCTGAAGGATCTTGGCAGGGAGGCCTGGGATATAGAAAGCACACCAATGATAATGAAGAAAAAAAAGAAGAAATCAAAGCAAAAGAGATACTCTCAACCTCGGGCTGGGGGACCTTGGAATGATAACAATGCAGATGAGCCTAAAGGTCATCCCTTTGCAGCTGACCCACAAAAATCAGGTATTCTCCCCAACCAGTCTACCGCTGTGGGCATGGAATATGGACTGCTTTCCAGAGAAAACTTGAAAAAGGAATCTCAAATCAACTTCAGAGCAGCCAAACTGGTAGCTGAAAACTTTGTCTCAGAAAATCTTAGTATTCCTTTGGGTCCTTTGGAAGGACCCCCCCAAACTGCAGTAAATTCTCAGCTCAAGCTGAGAGTGGAGGGAGAGGTCAAAGGTAACAAGTCAGTACCACAGAGCCAAGACCAGAAACCGCTGCAGCAAGATGAATGCAAACCACAGCCTACACACCACCTGAAGACTTCTGTAAATAAAAGCCAGACAGTAAGCTCTCTCAATCTGAAAGGACCCCTGACAGAAGTTTCTGCACACAAAGTAGAAATTCCTTTGGAGATCAGACCCAAAGAGGGTTGCTCTCCTGTCTTGGACCAAGAGGCTACAGGTGGGGTTTCAAAACCCACAGCAGCAAAAGAACTGCTTAATTTGATACCCACTTTGACAGCAAGTAATCCATTAGAAAGTAGTCTAAAAGAAGGGATTGATGACAATAAAATGACTAAACTGCAGAATGACAAGCAGAAAGAGTTTTCTGAAGGAGCTGAAGATGTGAAAGAGCTAAAAAAAGAAGCTTTTCCCAAGGAAAGACAAGATATCAGTGTCTTTGCTTCTGAGCAGCTGCAGGACAAGGTGTTAGCTCAGGTTCCTGGGCCAGGGAATGAACCATTTAAGAGAATGGCAGGTGATAGCAAAAGCAGGAAGGGAAGGGGAAGTTCTGGAAAAGTGAGAACGAATTCTGGGAAGGTAAGAGCAAGGTCTGAGTTGCCATTTCTTCTGGACAGCCAGAAGGACTACAGAGCTGTTCTTGTGCCAAGTGAGACAGCCCCTAAAACTGAAAGAATGACTACTGGGGATAAGAGTGAAGAGCAACCAGGGACCGTGGCTGATGTCACTGAGGCAGTGGTCATGGGGGAGCCTAAGGAGACAACTGATTCTAGGGTGGCAGGCACCTTGCAGACATTGATTCCCTTGGGAAATGGGTCAGGCATGACTCACACTTCTGGTGGTAGAACAGAAAGAGGAGCCATAGCCATAGATATGGGTGTCAGTAACCAGAGCAAGGAAGGTAAGTGTCCTTGGATGGATCGTGAGGCAGCTCCCTGGATTTCTGAAAAGCCTAAAAAAAGCAGTGAAGGCAAAAACAAAAAGCTTAAGGAGAGCAAGGAAGAAATCCTCAATCCACCTTTTATAGGGAAGGATGGAGATGCTGGTAGTACTCCCCATCAAAACAAGGAATTAGGACTTTCTTTCCCCTTAAATCATGATCCTTTGTTCTCACATACATCAGATACACCCACAGTGGAAGTAGTTGACCGAAAAGGTAAAAGTAATAAGGTTAATTGTTTAGAGCTTGGGGCTCTTGGCAGGAACAAAACACACACAGTCAAGGATTCTTCTGTTATTGAACCAGCTACCAAGGTGACAGATGTGAGCTGCCAAGACCAAATCCAGGGGTCAGGATTTGTTCCTTCAGTACTGTCTGAGGTGAATAAGACAGATGCAGCCAAAGGACACACTGCAGTGGCTGACAAACCAAATAAAAGGAGTAATGATGAAAAAAGTAAAAAGGTTAAAAATAGTTTTCCCGAGAAGCACATTCTGGAGAGTAAGATAGATGCAACAAAAGTACATGTTCCCGTGGAAACCACAGGGGACCACAGAATTGAAGGAATGGGCTATATGGACGAAAATAGAAACATTACGTTTACCTGCCCCAGAACACCACCAGGATTGATGAATAAGTCAACTCCTCTAGAGGCTCAGGAATCAGCAGCCTGTGAAAAACTGCCCATTCCTATTCCTCAAGTAGTAAAGGAAGATGATTCCTTTCCAGACACCTTAGCCAAAAGTGGGCAAGAGACAGCTCCAGCCCAGATTTCCAAATTATTAGTGGTAGATAATTGCAGCAAAGGTGGAGTCCCAGATCAAGAAGGACTCAATGCTCCTTCTGCTGTTATGCCCTCTACAAGCGCAGG